AAATACCCCCATTGGCAGGTTAAAGGTTTTTTGGGTTTTGTTTTGTTTTGTACTTTTGAGGCAGGGTCTCACTTTGTTGCCCAGGCTGGAGCACAATGGCGTGATCATAACTCACTGCAGCCTCAAAACCCTGGGCTCAAGCAATCCTCCCCCTTGAGCCTTCCAAGTAGCTAGGACTACAGGTATAAACCACCATGCCCAGCTAATTTTTTTTTAATTTTTGTAGATACGGGACCTCACTTTGTTGCCCAAGCTGGTCTTGAACACCCGGGCTCAAGTGATTCTCCCACCTCAGCCTTCCAAAGTGCTGGGATTACAGAGATGAGCCACTGCCCCTGGTCAAGATAAAGTGATAAATCCATTTGAACATTCTCACCAGGAAAGCCATGACATCTGAGCATGACTCCTGACTTCTACCTGAGCTTTTATTTGCTATTGTCACATTGGCTCTCTTAATTCCAGAAGCCTGAACCACACAGCCGTTCATATCCCAGAGAACAGCAAATCCAACTGTTGAGCCTCAAGAAACCTGAAATCCGCTGGCAGTTGAATGCCACCACATTGTTTGTCTGCAATGACAATTAACAGTCCTGAATGACATCAAATGTGATGTGTAATCTGGTGCTTAGCTAAGATTGGGGCCTGGAATCAAAAACAAGGCTATAAAATGAGGCACCTCACAGACTAAGCCAACAGCCTTGTGAGCCCCAAATATTTTGCATGATGCTGATTTCTATACAGGATCTGATTCAATTAAATTCAATCCATTTTAGTCCAACCAATGGATATGCCAAGTCCTGTGCTAGACAGTGGGTAGGAGGAAGGAGAATATGAATAAAATAATCCCTGTCTCAAATGCTCACAGCCTAGGAGGAAGAACATAGGAGACCCACGATCCAGGTAACAACAGAAGAGTGGCCTGGGTGCAAACACAACAGCGAGGAGAGGAAAGAGCTACCTGAAGGGTCGGGGATATGGACAAAGAGTGGGGTTTAAAGGAAAACCAACAGTTCATCAGGTAGAAGGCGGGAGAATTGCCTCCAGCATATCAACACCACTGAACATCACATCAAATTTCCTTATCCGTGGGTACATTTCAGGCTGAAGACAATATCCATCATTCTTATTTCAACTAGACAGCCACAAGGAAATTTGCAATGTCTATTTCTCACTTTGCACATACATGACAAAATATTGATGAAAAATAACCCATTACTGAGGACTTACTGTGTGTTAGATGTCACAATAGGTATGTTATTCCCACAATAACCCCCTATGTGTTATATATCATCTTTAAAGATGAAAAACTCTCAGTTAAATCAAGGTCACCTGGCTAGTCAGTGGCTCAGCCAGATTTTGTGGGGTGTTGTTTTGTATTTTTTTTTTTTTAACATTTCTCACTTTATTCTTATTTCAATAGCTTTTGGAGTACACGTGGTTTTGGCTACATGGATGAATTGTATAGTGGTGAAGTCTGAGATTTTAGTATACCTGTCATCTGAGTAGTATACATTGTACCCAATATCTAGCTTTTTATTCCTCACCCCACACCCATTCTCCCCATGCTGGGTCTCCAAAGCGCATTATACCACTCTGTATGCCTTTGTGTGAACATGCCTTATCTCCCACTTATAAATGAGAACATAACGGTATTTGGTTTTCCATTTCTGAGTTACTTCACTTAGAATAATGACCTCCAACTCTATTCAAGTTGCTGCAAAAGACATTATTTCATTCTTTTTTATGGTTGAACAGTATTCCATGATGTCCCACTCATTGGTCAATGGGCACTTAAGTTGATTCTACATCTTTGCAATTTTGAATTGTGCTGCTATAAATATATGCATACATGTGTCTTTTTTGTATAATTACTTGTTTTTCCCTAGGTAGATACTACTGGGATTGCTGGATCAGAGGATACAACTATTAGTTCTTTAAGAAATCTACATACTGTTTTCCGTAGAGGTTACACCAATTTACATTCCCACCAGCAGTGTATAAGCGTTCCCTTTTCACCACACCCACACCAACATCTACTGTTTTTCTGACTTGTTAATAATGCTCATCCAGATTTTGAATCAGATTTATCTAAAGCCAATGATCTAGCCTTAATCACCACCCCAAACTTCCTCTTTGTAAGTCACCAATATATCTAAACCAATCCCTTGTTTATTTAATATACATCCTCAAATTGACATAGTTCTCTTTCTGCTACTCTGTGGAACTAGTGCTAAGTGGAACTACTTCTTAAAATTGCTGAGACCAAAGCTCCTCCTTTCAGCATTTACCAAATCATAGAGCAAATGCCAGACCTACACGGGGAAGTAGAAAGACGTTTGGTCTGCAGGACTTGGAGCGATGGAGGAGCTTTCTGTGGCTTGGGGACTCCTCAATTCCAAAGCCTAGTTTTCTTTTTTTTGAGACAGAGTTTCACTTTTGTAGCCCAGGCTGGAGTGCAGTGGCACGATTTTGAGTCACTGCAACCTCTGCCTCCCAGGTTCAAGTGATTCTCCTGCCAAAGGTCCCAATTTTCTAAGTAGCAAGAGGAAGAGAAACTCCACAGCTGAAGTGACTCAAGAAAGAACTTGAGAGTTAATACTTTGCGTGCTTTATTACACTTAGGGTGTTTCTGATGCAGATACAGCAGAACTAAATGTACTCAACGGACTGAAACAAACAACAAAAAAATGCCTTTCCAAAGCTCAGAGGGCATCTAAATATTACCAATTTTTGAAAGGTTTATATTTTAAAAAAAAAATAGGAAAAAAATGAAGGAGAGGGAAAAGTCCATATGAAAACAAAGACCTGCTGAAATGCTAAAAGGTCAAAGATGCAGAATCCCAGCTCTGCCAACTCTTCCTGCTGAGCTGATTAAGACTAACCCTCATCTCCCAGCCCTGGCTCTCCCCACTACTCATACAAGAAAACATTACATGGTGGTCCACTTAATTTCTCCCGATCATCAGAAACAGTCCCTAGACAACTAAATCTAGGATCTTTGAATGTAGTATCAATTTTCTTGCTTTAAAGGAAATTATATCAAATTATGGTTGGAGAAAAAAACTGGCTAAGCATTCTTTTAAAATTCAGAACAGTCTAAATTATGGGGTTGCACACACGAGAAGAAAGTTTTGTTTTAATCTGATTTCAAAATCAATCAGTTGAGGCTGCTGCAAGATGAACTATGTAATTAGAGCAAACGACTCCGTTAAATACTGTTACAGCAAAGAAACAAGGTCAGAGTGGAGGGCAGAGACCAAAAAGACCTTTCTTCTGCTTTCTTCACTAAAATTATTTTTCTCTTTAGTAACAGGAAAGGGAAATGCAAACACTATATTTGCATATTTGATGTGCCAAAAAACATCGCATTAAATAATTTTAAAAGTGGATTTCTTACAAAATATTCACTTTATCACTTCTTGTAAAATAAATGTATCCTAGGAAAAGGAAGTAATTGTCCTTGAAAGAGTTACTAAATATACTTATTTACATTTAGCATGGTTTTCTCACACAAAACCCAATGACATCCATAAGGCCTGCAACACGAAGGGATTAATATTTCCATAGAAACAATTCTTTATGGAATCTCCTGATTTTTAGAAATAATTTTCAAGCAATGATGTCCTGTTTATTATTATTATTTTTTTTTTTTTGGAGACTTAGTCTCACTCTGTCTCCCAAGCTGGAATGCAATGGCACGATCTTGGCTCACTGCAACCTCTGCCTCCCAGATTCAAGCAATTCTCCTGTCTCAGCCTCCCGAGTGACTTTTTGTATTTTTAGTAGAGACGGGGTTTCACCACGTTGGCCAGGCTGGTCTCAAACTCCCGACCTCAAGTGATCCACCCGCCTTCTGCTCATTATTTTTAAAAGTTAGCCCAGCATAGTCATTCACAAGCCAGGTGAGGTGGTTCACACCCATAATCCCAGCACTTTGGGAGGCAGAGGTGAGAGGACTGCTGGAAGCCAGGAGTTCAAGACCAGGCTAGGCAACACAGTAGGACCTCGTCTCTACAAAAAATAAAATAAAATAATTAAAAAATTTAGCTGGTCTGGTGCTTTCCACCTGTAGTCTCAGCTACTCAGGGGGCTGAGGCAGGGGGATTGCTTGAGCCTGGGAGGTTGAGGCTACCATCTCTCAAAAAAAAAAAAAAAAATACATGCTTAATCTAGCTACTATTCCCACTTAGCTTTTGGAATTGAAAAGAATTTCAAAGTTTACTAAAAAGCAGGGAAGTGATACAAACATCCAATTTGCACAAAAGTGTTATTATGTCTTACCAGTGGAAATCAGGCATAATTGGGTAAGTTTTAGACACAAAGAAACCAAAATGCCTGAGAGATTGAATTTAGAGTGTTCCTCAAATGCTAGTGCTGATCACGAGCTAACATGAGTATCACAGTTTCAAAATGTAAAGAGAACATTTTTTCAGTAAATGTTTTCATTGAAACCGAAACCCAAAAAACAATGCCAGTCATCACAGTATGTAGTAAACGTAACTTTCAGAAACAAGGAACTGACTTGTTTAACAAGAAACCTGTATTCAGGGTTGGTGAAAGTAAACCAGGTCTGATGATGCATATCTAATCACCCAAGAAAGCCAATAAAAGTAAAAAGATTCCATTGGTTCATTAACTATTAAAATGCAACACCAAAGACACAGCCCCTTTAAAGCCTTGACAACAAATATTAACTTATTACACATACAAATTATGCCAAAACTAGCAAGCTTGTAATACCAGCAGCAATGCTGCTATTCAAATAATAAACAGGCAAAGTTATTCCTGCTGGTTAAAAGAATGAAAAACAGCTTAAGGAGTCAATTTTCAAGTACACGTAAAATGCAGTAAGTTGGGACATGGAAAAACTGAAAGTAGTAAAAGTAATTCAGTTACCAGAAAGGGATATAAAAATAATCAGCTCATTCAATGAAAACATAATGCAGAATTAGGTCAGCAAAGCTGAAAACATAACACAGAATTAGGTCAGCAACACAGACCTAGAAACCTGCTTCCTGTCTCCTGAATCCACACATAATTCAGTCCATGCTGGCTTCTTTTTCATGAACCAATCCAAGGATAAAAAGCTAGGACAGAAACACATTCAGGTGAAAGGAGGCCCCTCCTTCTATGGGTGTCAAATTATATCAACCTATGAGGCAGACTCTCAGAGTCATGGTCACTATAACTTACAGCTGAATGGAACAAAAACTGTCTCCATGAATAAATTCTGTTTTCATTGCTTGACCCAGGACCAGCCTTGGAAACTTCTTCCACATCTCTGTGACCAGAGACTCTGCCAGAAAGAGAGTAAGGTCGGAAAATCTAGCTCTTCCCCGTCCCTTCAAAACTCCAGGTGAGGTAGAGATCTTAAATGCGTTCAAGGACGGCAGCTGGGTGCATGAGGGGGTGTGTCCCATCTGGTCCTGGTTAAGACTTGAAAGAGCAGGGCTGGCTCCTCTGTCCATCTCCCTTTTTTCTCTTTTCTACACCACACCCAAATGGCTCGAGCTGGTGGCCAGAGATAAGAACTCAGAGACATATCTACCACTAGCTGACGGGCTCCCCGCTTGCCTATTGCTTCCTTTAAAGGGACCATTCGTGCATTTACCCAGGAACTGAAACCGACACACACCCTATTCTGCTGCTATTGCCATGTTTCTTTCTCTCTCTCTCTCTCCACCTGATCCTTCATTCCTGCCTCTCATGTGACCTAGGGACCAAAGACTCCTGGTGCCCTCCCTGCCCAGGAACTGTTTAAGTGACAATCTTTGGACTGGTTTCCTATTAGGGTACTGTACTGAATTTGCACCTTCCATCTGAAGAACTAGGGGCTGCCCTAGGCCTGATTTTTTCCAGGACACTGAGGAGAGCACAAAGTCAGGCTCCCAGCGCCAGAGTGACAGTCAGGCAGCCATAAACTGGACCTGATCAGACAAGAGTCATGTGGGCACATCTGCCAGTATAAACAAGGTTCCTGCGAGAGAGCCCTCCTGGTCACGGGTCAGACAACTAGGCGTTAGACCTCCGGCCAAGCAGACATACCCTGTGAAGGGCACACAGGGAACACCCATGCCCAGCACCCCTTCACTTCCCATCAGGGCAGCATTGTTAACTGCTCTGGTACTGGAACCTCAAGTTAGCTGAGGGCTCTCAGAACACCCGGTTCTCCTTCTCTCTCCCATTCTCCCCAGATTCCTGGGGTTCACATGGTGTAGTATGAGGCTGCCACATACGTGCCCAAAATGGCAACCCTTCGCCACTCTCCACTCCAACTCCACAATTCCTGCTTCATTAGTTCAGCTGGGGCGGATGGAGCTGGAAAATGATCTGATATTCTACTTCACATTACAGTAATACTTAATAAAGTAAATGTCTGACAGCTTCTTCTCCCCACCTCAAGTCCCCATGCGCTCTCTTAGCTAAATCAAACAGATCTCTAAGTCTGTGTATCTTAGGCAGTATGGAGAAGGAAGGGGGAGATAGGTTTTGAGAATGGGAGGCTCGTTTTCTGTGTCCTGATCAATTACACCACTTGCTGGCCTTGGAAGGAAGCATGGTATTTCCTGAAGGGCAAGAGAAAGGTACATCATGCCTACTCTCTTTCTCTCACTGCCACCCAAGGAGTGCAAGCCGGACCACATCCTCCCATCTCCTCTCCGGTCTTCTAACATTAACAGAAACATTAAGTCCTGACATATGCTTCACCACGGATGAACCTGGAGAACATTAGGCTACATGAAATAAGCCAGTCACAAAAAGACAAATACACAAAAGGACAAGTAAATATGATTCCACTTACACAAGGTACCTAAAGTAGTCAAATTCATTAGAGACAGTAAGTAGAACGGTGATCGCCAGAGGCTGGGAGAGGAGGAAATGGAGAGTTGCTATTTCTGGTTATGAAAAAGTAATTCACAGGCTGGGCATGGAGGCTCATGCCTGTAATCCCAGTGCCTTTGGGAAGCTGAGGCAGGAGAATTGCTTGAGCCCAGGAGTTCAAGACCAGCCTGGGCAACACAGTGAGACACTGTCTCTACAAAAAATACAAAAATTAGCCAGGGATGGTGGCACACACCTGTGGGTCCCAGATACTCAGGAGTCTGAGGTGACAGGATTGCTTGAGCCTGGGTGGTTGAGGCTTCAGAGAGCCAAGATAGTGCCATTGCACTCCAGTCTAGGAGACAGAGCAAGACCCTGTCAAAAAGAAAGAAAGAGAGAGAAGAAAGAAAGAAAAAGAAAGAAAGAGAGAGAGAGAAGAAAGAGAGGAAGAAGAAAGGAAGGAAGGAAGGAAGGAAGCAAGCTGAGGCAGGAGAATCACTTGAAGCCAGGAGGCAGAGGTTGCAGTGAGCCGAGATCATGCCACCACACTCCAGCCTGGGCAACAAAGTGAGATTCCGTCTCAAAGAAAAAAAAAAAAAGAAAGAAAAGAAAAAAAAGAGAAAGAAATAAAGAAAAGAAATTTACTTATTGCCACTGAATTGCACACTTGAAACTGGTGAGCTGGTCAGTTTTATATGATGTATATGTTATCATAATAAAAAATACAACAAAAGAAATGTTTAAAAAGGGGACAACCTCACCCATTCCTCCCCAACCCCTACCTCACCCATTCCTCACCAAAACCAGTTTTAGTCCCAGGACTTCAGCATCTATTCATACTCTCTGGTTCTACTAGGGGTGGACATATTTGTCACCGTGAAGGCGCCTGGCTCCTAGAGCCCTCTTTGGAGCAACACAGAGAGAGCCTCGACCGTCTCCTGAGTTGGTCTTAGAAAACAAGTCTGCCAGGGAGCTGAGGCTATTTTCCCTCCTTGCATTTTTGTTTTCTCCAAAAGTGGACCCCATTCCTCCCACACTTGTTCCTCATGCCCCTCTATTCCATCCCCAGGCCAAACTCTCAAGGGTTGGTTGTCTGAGTGACTGTGAGTCCCTGTTCACTTTTTTCCAGGTAAGCCAGAGTGTAACATAGACGAATCCATTTCCAACCCCGCGTGGATTCCACTGGACTCTTGGGAGCTGGAATGGAATTCATTAAATAATTGGGCCAGCCACTAGGAAAAAAATATGCAGTGCAATTTTCTCTACTTCTTTCCCATATGCTTCGTATCTATGTATTCATTCATTCACTCATAGGGATATTACTCACTAATTATTATCCATGCAGCTGTCTTGCACAGCTGTACCGTACAATGGTTTACAGCACATTATCTCTGCACTAGACGTGTGACCATGGTCAGTCTTTTCAACACCAAGTGCCTCGGTTTCCTCATCTACAAAGTGTAAACAACAGTCGTGCCTATCTCATAGAATTGTGTTAAAAAATTTAAATGTGTCCTGCATAAAAGGTTTGGGAAACATACCTAGCACATCAAGAGCATTCAAAGTAAGCTGTTATCTGAATTGGTTTATCATACTCAATTTTCATTGCTTACTAACAACGTGTGACATTTTTTACCCTCAATGCTTGACACGTTTGACAACTAAAATGCGCTTCTGAAGATTTAATCTGAAATAAAACAGTATTATCATGACCACTCCAGCATGGGGAGGGAGAACACCAAAACATTTGTATTGCATTTCTCCATGTCTTAGGAATACCAATGTATAAACCGTCCACTGCTGAAATGGATAAGTCAATCTGATAAGAGTATATTTCCTTCTGTAAATCAAAGCAGGATTCTTATAGTCTAAAGCGCCCTCTAGTGCTCCTATGCAAAAACTCCCAAGATAATGTCCCATCCCTATAACCAAGGTCTTTTTCTGCCCTGGACAGTCCTGGTTAAGGCGTATTGTCTCTCTAAGTTGTCTGGGTTAACACTTCCGTGGATTGTTTCATGTTAATGGAGAGTTATCATTAATATTTGCACTAAAATAAGACAGGATTGGTTTAGTAGCCCTTCATTTTATGCTTTCAGCCTTCACTGCTGTCTTGTGTAGCATTGCGCGAGACAGATATGAGTAGTAAGCAAAGATGTCACATGTGAGGCTAGGCATGGTGTCTCACGCCTGTAATCCTAGCACTTTGGGAGGCCAAGGTGGGTGGCTCACGAGGTCAGGAGATCGAGACTATCCTGGCTAACACGGTGAAACCTCATCTCTACTAAAAATACAAAAATTTAGCCGGGAGTGGTAGCATGCGCCTGTAGTCCTAGCTACTCGGGAGGCTGAGGCAGGAGAATCGCTTGAACCTGGGCGTTGAAGTTTGCAGTGAGTCGAGATTGCGCCACTGCACTCCAGTCTGGGCAACAGAGCGAGACTCTGTCTCAAAAAAAAAAAAAAAAGTCACAAGCAAGGCAGCTAGTGTTGACCCATTTCTATTTTCCCCTATCCTTTCCACGTGCAATGGAATCAACATGTTTCCCTTTCAAAGACAACAACGCACTTGCTTACAAAAAAAAAAAAAAAGACCCTCAGACAAGCAAAAGCTTCCAAGGACAACTCTGTATCCAGGAATAGCACTTGTGATGGCAAAAGAGTTCTCCAACAGCTGCTGCCCTGAACCCTTGGAGCTCACCAACTAGGTCTGCCATGGCCAGGCTCTGGTCTATAAAATGCACAGAACTGCCAAGGCATAGCTGGTGGGGTCCCTGAGATATGTGAGGGACATAGGTTAGGGGTGTGTGGAAGAATACGTGCAGGGAAAGGAGGCTGGAAGTACTGCCTCAGGACCATAGAGAAACCAACCTGGCCAAAATGATCAGTCATTTCTTAGATGAGGTGCATCTAAAAGTATTGTTATTGTTTGATGGTGCTTTTTTACTTTGCAAGACATCTTTCAACAATAGTAAGCTCAGAAGTGAAAGTTTAGGCCAGGTGCAGTCACTCACACCTGTAACCCCAGCACTTTGGAGGCCAAGGCAGGAGGACTGTTTGACCCAAGGGGTTAAAGACCAGCCTGGACAACAGAGCAGAACCCCATCTCTATTTTAAAAAATAATTTTTAAAGTAAATAAATAAAAGTGAAAGTTTACACTTCGTAAAATATTAACTGAGGAATATTCTATCCTCAAGTCAGTTGATGAATGTGAAATTGAATATAATGTCCTCATTGGCCACTCTCTACAAACTGATATCCAGAACCAAATGAAAACCCCAAAACACAAATCTGAAGAAGTTTTTGTTTTTGTGGTTTTTGGGGTTTGTTTTGTTTTGTTTTGTTTTTAGACAGAGTTTTGCTCTATCACCCAGGCTGCAGTGCAGTGGCATAATTTCCGTTCCATTCACTGCAACCTCCACCTTCTGGGTTCAACAAATTCTGACTCAGCCTCCCACACCTGGCTAATTTTTATATTGTTAGTAGAGACCAGGTTTCACCATATTAGCCAGGCTGGTCTCAAACTCCTGACCTCAGGTGACCCACCTGCCTCAGCCTCCCAAAGTGCTGGGATTACAGGCATGGGCCACTGCACCAGCCTGAAGTGTTATAATCTACATCAAAAATTAGTAGTGGCCAGGTGCAGTGGTTCACACCTGCAATCCCAGCATTTTAGGAGTCTGAGGTAGGACGATCACTTGAGGCTAGGAGTTCAGGACCAGCTTGGGCAACATAGAAAGACCTTGTCTCTACAGAAACAAACAAAAAAAAAGGCTAGCCAATTGCGGTGTGACACATCTGTAGTCCTAGCTACTTGGGAGGCTGATGTGGGAGGATCCTTGAGCCCAGGAGTTCAAGGCTGCAGTAAGCTACGATTGTGCCATTGAACTCCAGCCTGGGCAACAAAGCAAGACTCGGTTTCTATTGCAAAAAGAAAAAAAAAAGACTAGTAGCTATTTGGGGAATCCTGTATTTAGAGCTTACAAGTTATTACATGCAGCTGTGGAAGGTGCTCACATGACATTTAGATCCACTAATTATTCTCCTACACTGACTTTGCCAATTTTTATTTCATGTTTTTGTTTTCATGTACCAAAAGTGAAGCAAAAGCTATAAAGTGTTAAGATTGATTGAAGAATTTTATAAAAATTTCACTGTTGCTAATTTTGTATCAGTATTATCAAGGCTTCACCTAGAAAAATCAATTAATTCCAACAATGGTTTAATTTTATCTAATTCATGGAATCAATGTAAAGTTTTTGGAATTGTAGTCTGTTTAAGATGAAACATATATGACATAATTGTGAATCTTACTGTAAATTTAGCTTAAATTTTCATATTTAAGGTAAAAGTATTTGTTTTTGCAGTGATAATCTACATAAATATTTTGGTAGAACATGATGTCATGGTAAAAACAGTATCTTGGCCGGGCACAGTGGCTCATGTTTGTAATTCCAATGCTTTGGTAGGCTGAGGCAGGCGGATCATGAGATCAGGAGTTCAAGACCAGCCTGGCCAACATGGGGAAACACTGTCTCTACTAAAAATACCAAAACAAAAAAAATTAGCTGGGCATGGTGGCATGTTCCTGTAATCCCAGCTACTCGGGAGGCTAAGGCATAAGAATTGCTTGAACCCAGGAGGCAAGGGTTGCAGTGAGGTGAGATCCCACCATTGCACTCCAGCCTGGGCGACAGAGCAAGACTGCTGCCGTGGAGGATGCGGGAGAGATCTTATTAAATTAAGGTATCTAATTTTAAAGATGCAGAACTATAACTGGAGTTGGGTACAGTGTAAACAGAAGTCATAACTTCATCACCAAAGAAGTTACATTATTGTAACAATTGCAATGAAACCATATTTGTAAAAATTTACAAATTTTGAATATGCCAAGTAAACTA